GCAAGAATGATTGTTTTGCATCCGGATGGCTGATAAGACTGCATTGACATGCATTTTACACGCATTTCGACAAACCTGTACAGTTTGCCAAATGGAAGTTACATCAGCGCATTATAAAATTAGTGGGGATTACATGATTCGCGTTGAGTGCTCGAAAGAAGTGATATTTCGGGAACACAAAGAAGCGTCCTATTTTTAAAACGCAGATGTTTGAGTTGGAAATATCGGCGATTTCTGGTCTTTGTGAACGCTTTTATTAATAGATAAGTTCTGGATCGTTTAAAATTTGCCTTAGATTGCTCCATCGCCACAAAGTGTTGCGTATTCGATGAGCGATTCACTTTTGAACCTGAACAGGCCAAGAACGATTTGACGAATTAAACTCATCAAGCTACAAGGGCAATAAATCGCTAAACCTTTCATGTTGCTCGATGGCGATTGAAACTAACCACACACAACAAAGCGCGATTTGCAAAAGTGGCGGGTTGAAATCGTCGTCTTATCTACTATTACTAACCCCGTTAGTGAGCAATTAGAACATATTAAGCAATTTGTTAGTCATCATCGCTTCGGTTTGTCTGCATTTCTTTGTTCTCGATTCCTCTCCCGATATATCGATCCAGGCCGGAACATGAACAAAGAACTTGAGAGACGCCGGTGGTTGTGCGAAGGGTGCGGACTGCACACTGCCGCTTCTTTGTTTCCGCACCCCTGTGCAGTTGCAAGTTACAATTGTATTTCTCTTTGCATCCATCTATTCGGCAATTTTTTAACATGCTGATCGACAGAAAACCTCGTGCTGTTCCTAGTAGTTTGATCAGCAGCAGCAGGAAAATTGTATAGAAATGCATACTTTTATCAAACGGTCAAAGACTTCCGCGGCCATCTTTTAATCGGTTGCTCTTATATACCATTGCGATGTTTGCAAAAACTCTGTATGTGTTTCTCAAAAATTCACGATTGCCTTAAGTATTGTAAAGGGTGTGCCTTAAGTATTGTAAAAGTCGATTCAAGTACCAAAAAAACGTTTTAATAATAATAATCAGTCATAAACATATAAACAATTCTTGGAAACATAAAATTTTAGCCTCATCAGCAACAATGTGCAAAATAAGTGAACGAGGACGAATGCCATTAATGGATAATTCCCAATAAATAAAACTATCATTTCGGAACAATTAGCCTGTAAATTCAGGACGAAAATACCGCAATCGGACAAATTGATTTTTGGAGCAAATAAATAATACTCTGTTTAATAAACGGCCACATTTCGCAACTAATGCTCAATTTGTAACCGAAATGAGTGTTGCGTCAGCCTTAGTCAAGATAAATGGTATGACCAAGCATCTTGAACAGGTAGGTATTCTCAAATGTATCGATGCTATTGCAAGTTTGCTATTACTTTCATCTTTTTCCTTATTATTCGGGATTATTGTCCAAAGTCACGCCACAAGCGCCTAACAAAGGCAGGTGAATCACAAATTAACAATTAAGCTATTAATATAACGAGGAATCAAAAGTAAATTAGGTCGGAGGTTTATCTTTGTTTTATTTTTATCACTTTTGTATTCGGTATTAGATAGCGTTATTTCAAAATCGCAGTGAATACACGATTTAAATATGTGATTCACTGCTAGTCAGTTCATGTTAAGGCCCTTCCAGCTGACTAATAAAAATGAAAATGATTATAATAATGAATTTTCAAGTAGATTGTTGCAAAATTCCTCTTTTGTATGCAAGAAGAGTTAGACCAGTAAAATGCTTCAACCCACTGCTGCTGAAAATGACCCACTAAAACAACAGAAAAATAGCTAATCTACAGGGGACAATTTATTAGTCGCCACTAGTCACAATGGATGTTCACCAGCTAAGTCTAGACTAGTTTCTGAAGTACCGGGAAAGAAGAAAGCCATAATTTACTTCACTTTTATCTACATAAAGGCCATGTCGTGGCAGTTTTTCTGTATTGTGTTCTAACATCGATGTGAAGAAAGCGGTCGTCTTACTAAAGCCGTTTACAAATTTTACATCATTTTCAGCTCGCCGACGCGAGGAATCCATTGAACTAATTGAAAAACATGCCAGAAGTTTCAGATGTGAAATAATAGACATTTTCGGCACATTTTAGGCTTTTTTGAGCTTTCACGATCTTTAACTAAGGATTTCTTCCTTATTATTGAGCCAAACACTTTACAAATGCATATTTATGACCTTCTCACGTCGAAAGGAATCGATTGAGCTAAAAAAACACGCATGTGATATTTTGATTTTTGGCCGAAATTTTTCCAAGGGTGGGGGTCGATTTTTTGAAAAAATGAAAATTTTCTCAAAATGTCTTAAATCTTGCATCAATTTCAGCTCGCAGACGCGAGAAATGCATCGAACTCATTGAAAAACATGCTAGAAGTTTCAGATCCGAAATAATAGACATTTTAGGCATATTTTAAGCGTTTTTGAGCTTCCACGATTTTCAACCGACGATTTCTTCATTATTATTGGCCCAAACACTTTATTAATGCATACTTGTGACCTTCTTACGTCGAAAGGAATCGATTGAGCTCAAAAAACACGCATGTAAAATTTTGATTTTTGGCCGAAATTTTTTCAAGGGTAGAGTTCGATTTCTGAAAAAAAATAACATTTTTCCAAAATGTCTTAAATTTTACGCCATTTTCAGCTCACCGACGCGAGCAATGCATCGAACTCATTAAAAACCATGGTACAAGTTTCAGATCTGAAATAATAGACATTTTCGGCACATTTTAAGCGTTTTTTGAGCGTTCACGATCTTTAGCCGACGATTTCTTCCTCATTTTTGATCCAAACTCTTTATAAATGCATATTTCCGAACTTCTTACGTCGGAAGGAATCGATTGAGCTCAAAAAACAAGCATGTGGAATTTTGATTTTTGGCCGAAATTTTTCCAAGGGTTGGGGTCGATTTTTGGAAAAAATTAAAATGTTCTCAAAATGTCTCAAATTTTACGCCATTTTTAGTTCACGGATGCGAGCAATGCATCGAACTCATTAAAAAGCATGGTAGAAGTTTCAGATCTGAAATMATAGACATTTTYGGCACATTTTAAGCGTTTTTTGAGCGTTYACKATCTTTAGCCGACGATTTCTTCCTCATTTTTGATCCAAACACTTTATAAATGCATATTTCTGAACTTCTTACGTCGGAAGGAATCGATTGAGCTCAAAAAACACGCATGTGATATTTTGATTTTTGCCCGAAATTTTTCCAAGGGTGGGGGTCGATTTTTTGAAAAAATGAAAATTTTCTCAAAATGTCTTAAATCTTGCATCAATTTCAGCTCGGAGACGCGAGAAATGCATCGAACTCATTGAAAAACATGCTAGAAGTTTCAGATCCGAAATAATAGACATTTTAGGCATATTTTGAGCTTCCACGATCTTCAACCGACGATTTCTTCATTATTATTGACCCAAACACTTTATAAATTTATATTTCTGACCTTCTTCCGTCGAAAGGAATCGATTGAGCTCACAAAACACGCATGTGAAATTTTGATTTTTGGTCGAAATTTTTCCAAGGGTTGGGGTCGATTTTTTGAAAAAATGAAAATTTTTTCAAAATGTCTTAAATTTTGCATCATTTTAAGCTCACGGAAGCGACGAATGCATCGAACTCATTGAAAAACATGGTAGAAAGTTTCAGATCCGAAATAATAGATATTTTCGGCACAGTTTAAACGTTTTTTGATCATTCACGATCTTTATCCGACGATTTCTTCCTTATTATTGACCCAAACACTTTATAAATTTATATTTCTGACCTTCTTCCGTCGAAAGGAATCGATTGAGCTCAACAAACACACATGTGAAATTTTGATTTTTGTCCGAAATTTTTCCAAGGGATTTTTTGAAAAAATTTAAATTTTCCTAAAAGTCTTAAATTGTACATCATTTTCAGCTCGCAGACGCAAGCAATGCATCGAAGTCATTGAAAAACATCCTAGAAGTTTCAGATCGAACAACAAATTAGATACCAGATTCTTAAAATACTTTCATCAGAAATAAATTCGCTTGTTTGTTATCAATCCCAGTCATATCAACAACTTATCGCCTCACGCAAATTAATCGATTGAATGTTCAACATTATTCTTATCATTCAGATTTTCTTAACGCTTGTTTCGTTGTTTCACCAACAATGAGTCATTTTATGATTTAGCAAAACATGTACATTGCAACTATTCTAGTCAGCTTACGGAATATTCTCGATTATTCCTTGTTTATTTTCTCTGCTTCTCTTAAAAACATTGCAGAGAATCTTATTTAACATTTTGTCTCAGCGTTACTGTTCGAGTCTGAGGTCTGAGGTGAACTCTAACCTGGTATATAGAGAGCAACGCCTAAAAGCATTCATTTATGTAGATTAGTGGCGTTCAAAGGATGCTTTGTCGGTTGTGAACGTGTCAACACATTCTATTTACTATTTATAATTTGGATCAATTCCCTTCACGTGCGGACAGCCCTGAATGTAAATATCCCCAATGATTTATCAAAGATTTTGCAGAAAACACGCAAAACTCTTCTAAAGTGTCGATATTGATTAACATGTTGCAAAAGGGTGATGCAACACGTCAGAAGCGCTGGTGATCCTCGAAAACGGCCAACAAACACAAAATGAAAATAAATCATAAAAGTCCACACAAAACGCGGCTTCTGTAGGATCGTACGATATTTCAAAGCCAACAAACACCAACTTGCAAACCGGTTTATGGATTTTTGTTGTGAATTGCATCATCTGGCAAGCCCGGCTTCGGGCATCGGCTTCTGGATGAAGAATGGATGGAAGTCTTCGGATCTTCGATCTGGAACTTGTTCCTGCATTTCCCCAATGGAAAACTCGAAAAAACGCAATTTGAACCGCAAACCCCATCAATTCGCAGAACAAAGGAACATCAGAGCCGCGACTTCGGCTCGGCAAGCTGCGTTCGGAACTTTCCGGAACAAAGTAGGGGCCAGCTTATATAAAGAGGCATCAGCTGTTTAAACCGGCAGTCAAAATCAGAGAAGCGTGCAGCAACAAGCTTGCACTTGCTAGAAGCTAAGTGGAAGCTCTGGCTTCGTATTCGTTCATTGTGATATAGATTAAGTGTTAGAATTTTTAAATTTTATTCAAAAAAATGGAAGTTCTTCCGGTTCAGAACGGCGTCGCCCATTCGGAATACCAAAATCCAAACAGTAAGTACCAAAACCGCCGTTTGCGGTGCCAACGTCCTCCAACGCCGCAAAGAGCACTGGAAGCTCTGGCAGCAAACCCCAAAACAATTTCTACAATCAAACAACCTCTTCCAGAATGGTATTACGACCCAAGGCCGCATCTGATCGAACCATCGAACTCAGCCGCTCACTTCCTAGCCAAGATGCTCGAACAAGAGATCCGTTCGGCGAAGAAAACGCACCTTTCCGCAGGCGAAGTCCTGCTGCCAACCGGGCTGCTTCACAGAGTGTCCGAAGATGTGCTGGAAGTGGCGGAGTCCGAGTGCTACGGAGTGAGAGGAATGACGCTTCATCTTCTCTATGAGGGTGAGGAGGATTGCCGAAGGATGAGCTGCCTCAAGTTAGACCCTTCGACTCCGTCGACTTTCGAAGTTTACTTGACTTTCAAGCAGGCCAACGCCGGCTGGGGCTTCCTACCTCAATTCATCAAGTAAGTACTCGCATCTTGGCGAGATTTTCCCCAAATGGGCAAACACAATCGGCAGTTACTAACGGAAAGTTCTTGTTGCAGAAAAATAACCAGGGGTAGTACCGTTATACTCAGCACCGACTACGAGATCACGAAGAAGAAGTTGTATCGTCCAGTGTTGCGTGAGTGAGTAAAAGCCGAAACGATCCCATGATTTCACCAGAGACTGAAACAATTTTTCACATAACCCTACGTACTGTTTTTTTCTATTTTTATAGTGGTATAAAAGATATGGAAGAAATCGTCTAAAAAGCGCAGCGTGATCTAGATTTAGTTTTTTTATTTTGCTAATGTTGATATAAAAAGGCTGTTTTTTTTTAATAACTAAGGTCTCATCATTAAATCGCTTTTCGACACCCAGAGTACAAAGAGAATTTCATCAAAAAATCATCGATAAACCAAAAAAAAAAACTAATGAAAAACAGCCTTTATTTTTTAACAGTATTCGACTTTTTCAAAAGCTCCTTTTGAAAAAGAGTTCATTTCGAACGATGAACCTTAGGTTCAAAGGATTCTATCGAATCCGTGATTTTCTTTCGTGATATAATTATGTATTATAGTAATGCAAATGATATGAATATGTACCTGCGTACTTAAAAAAGATATCGTCTTTCAAGTATTTAATTTCCGTAAATTCATGAAATTGATCAAGCGATGATTTGCGCACTCTTTTATTTCAGTCATTTTATCATTAAATTTTGACCAATTTCAACAAATTATCCAGAAAAATCATCAAGTAATTTATATTTATGTGATATCGTAGAAATTAGGAGAGTATAATGTAGGAACGACGATTCATAATGTATCAGTGAATTGTGAAAATCTGCAAAAATCCGAAAAAAACTACAAAAAAAGCACACACGATGTACAAACGCAATTCGTGTGTGCGAAAACTGATTAATAAAATGTGAGGCTCTATAATATCTATTTAGCAAGTAAGGTTACGTTTATAAGTTTTATATTTGACTAGATTATAGACTCTATTTGATGGCTATGTGTGATATATTCAATAATTGTGCAGATTGATAACTGCGCCACTATCTCATGCTTTCATAGACTGTATGGACAGTAATAAAACACTTTTTTTAACATGCCGAAGTTTATCTTATTTCCTACCACCTTCGCTCGGCGCAGACGACAGTTTAGAAGTCCGAAAAACTCACTAGTTTCAAGCAATGAAAGCCTTGCTCTAGTGTGGCAACAAACTTGACCGCAAAATAATCCCCTGGSCTCGAAAAAAGTCATTATCATCTTTATTGCCGCCTCTCATCGCGGATCTTCAGCTCTGATCTCAGATGAAAAGCTTGTAAATTTATTTTGAAATTGAATTCGTCCAAATGTTGTGCCATTTTTATTGTAAGGAAGCGAGAAGTTTTACMTCCRCATATGTTACATACGCAAATGTTATGTAAACTATTCCAAAAAAAAAAGACGCGCCTTGAGACTTTTGTCGAAAAAGTGAAAAAGYCATTTTCTAATACATGACAAAATCGATTCAGTCAGATTCATTACTTTTTCAGTCAGATTTATTACTTTACTCCGCGAAACTGAGAAAGTATTTTACGTCCTGAAAAAGTCCAAAACATGTACCGGCAAATAATCTGCCAAAAAGTTGTACATTTGCTCCGAAATAAGTCTGGGCGGTAGATTTCAACGAAATTTTACACAAAATTCTCAAAATCTCATAGAGCAAAGTCATAAAGATCATTGAAAGTTTGTCAAGTGCAAAAATAGGGCAGTTTTTAAAACCGCCCTTAACTAATGGCTGATTCTCAGAAAACCGTTAGAGCAATAGACCTGCAGTAGTTGCTACTGAATAGAGCATTGAAATGCGTCTATTTTCATATCAAACGTTGTTTTCAAAAGATTTTTAATAATTTCAGGAATTGTACAAGTGAAGTGCCTCTGTT